AGAGTTTGTATTGGCAATTGCAAGTAGAGATGCAACTTACTCAGACCCCAAGTGCAAAGCAGACCAGCACAGGAGTTTGCACAGAACATGTTTGTTTATATAGATCTTCACTGCAGAATTCTCATCTTGGGGCAGGGAATCCCACTGGTACCCTCAATAGAAGTAATAAGTGATCGTTCATGGTTTTGAGGATGTTTTTCTCATGCAGCTTGAGTATGGATCTGTGAGGGCGACCAGAGCTCCAAGGCCAGTGAGACAGATGCTTTGGCGATGGAAGTGAAACTGTTCAGTGCTGAGCACAGAGGCTGAGCTGTCAGAGGCACTGCTGTGCTGGTTGTGGATGACATGGTGTGGTCCCCACGTGTCAGTGACCAACCCAAAACTGCCACTGAGAGGGGGCACCCAACCACCAACGTGAAGTACACCCTGATTTTCAGCATGCAATTGCTGTGGTTGTGAAAAGCACTTACCTGCTCCTGAAAGCTTGTGTGAGTATGTACTGGGGGGGATTACAAAGATTTGCTATGCAATGACAACAGTATCCCACCAAAAGCCCCAGTGCAGGGGCTTCGTACTGGCTGTGCATGGCCTTCTGGAGGCAGAACTCCCCAGCAGTAGCACTTTCATGCTAGCATGGATGCCATACCTAGCTGCATCTTTTATGGTAGAGGCAAGGAACACCTGGCAGAGAGAGCCCTAAAGCTGGGCATTTACCCGGCCACCTCTATGACCAAGGTCACCATTTCACTACCATACTATCGGTAGCTCAGAGGCTCCTCTTTCTGAGTGCATGAAGAGGATGATACTGGTACAAGCACATGTAGGTGATACAGGCCACAGTCCTGGCTGCAGGAGAAGTGCAAGGCATGTCATTAAGTATGTTTGTGTGGTGGCAGAAAGGATGCTATGACACTGCAAAGCAGCTAAGGGGAAACCTGTGGAGGATGGGGCCAAAGTCTTATGTCCTGTCAGCAGGCCAAAATGAAGCTATCCACACTTAAGTCTCCCAAGCACCTTAATCATGCCCCAGGCTTCAGCCTGAATAAGAAGTGCTGTTGAAATGTTACCTGCAAACATGATTTTGTGTTGTTGAATGCAGTGAAACAATACTTATTTCCACTGCAATATTGATGGGGTGACACCAGGTCTTAAGCGTAGGAGGGTTAGACAATAACACTGGAGACATAAAGTGTGTCCATGCAATAGGTTGGATATGGAGCAATGTCCTGTCATAAACAAAATTTAGCCTCACTTTTGTAGAGGGGATTAGCCTAGGTTTACCATACAACAGCTTTGCAGAAACCATGGACCAAATCCTGACATTTCACCAGCTTCAAGAGTGACGCTGACTCAGAAAACAGTTCAGTGCAGTTCTGCTTCTCTATGGATGGAAAGGATTGATTTCACCGTAACATGAGAGGAGCACTGTACCTGACTGCTTCAAGGCTGTGGTATTTGCAACAGGGATGGGACTTTGGCAGGCCAAGGAGTAGGAGGCAAGAACAAGCCACGAGCTGCATGAGTGAAGCCACAACAACAGATGGGGCTGGAGGCAAACCACCCAGATGAAAACTGTCCATGGGTGAAGCAAAGACCTGCTTGCAAAAACCTGTGTCTGAACTTGCCCACACAGAGTGGGTGCTTGAGTCTCAGTCCAAGACTTCCTGGAAGCACAGTGGTGTAAGAGGTAAGAGTCAGAGCAGAAGAGATCACAAGGTTCATATCAGTAGAGGACACAGATCAGGTAACAGGGTCCAAACCCAGCAGCTCCTTTGTCCTGTGACTCATGAGGATGGGGCAGTATTTGGGAACCACAGCTTGAAGCCTTTGGATGGTTTGCAAAAGGGCATCTTGGTGCTGATGCATGTGAATTGCTCTCAGCTGAGCAATGAGTGCAGAGCACTGGTGGCATTTGAGCTGTCAGACTTTTATCCACTCCCTATCATCACCATCACAACCAGTGGAAGATCTGCAGAGAGGGTGGCCCAGCTGCTCCCATCATGGCCGACTCCCAGACTGCAATGGGAAGTCTAGAAACCATGGCTTTTGTTTTCATCCAGTCTACAGGAGACTGAGAGGAGCCACAGTAATAAGCTTTGAACATGTGAAAGGTCACTGCAAAAGGCAAGGGAGTAACCCATTCTCTTTTCCCACTGGGAAAAGTCAAACTCACGTGCCTAAAACACAGTAAGATCCAGGTTAATACCATGAACTATCTCTAAATAATAAGGTGAATGAATCACTTCCCAAGTAGGCTGGAGGACTGGAGTGCTGTTAAAGACATGTCAAAAAACATCTGCCAGGCATGGGCTAGGTTTACTTAATCCTACCTTGGAAAGGTGGATGGGCAAGCTGATCCCAAGGTCCTGTCCTGTTCTGTGTTCAGTGATTTCAACAATCCTCATAGTATCCAGGGACTAAAAGCTTTGTAAGACCCTTACTGGCTTGTGTTTCTTCCATTAAAAGAAAACAAAACAAAACCTAAACCAAAACAAAAAACCCTACAACAGACTCAACCATGGTTTATTTAGGAAGGAAATAGATATTCAGGGAAGAAAAACATCCTCCATTTACTCTGTAGCCAATACTAAAGGGAGGACTATGAGAGGAACCAGGTCCTGCAATGCTTTCTAAAAGCAGGCAAAACTTCTTTGGGACTAAAAAGATACACCACAGCCAGCATAGCCGTATCTCCTGTAAATGCCTCCAGTTTCACTTAAGTGGTGGCTTTCACCCTTTCTGATAGATCTTCATTTTCTCCCTTTGAAGGCACAAGCCCCACACTGAATTTAAAGTGGCCAGCAAGTTTTCTCCTCAGCTACCTTTCATGGACCTTTCAGAAACAGGGGTCTGCAGGGCACAGGCCAAAGGTGACTTTGCTGAAGAGAGTTCAGCTTTAATCTCTTTAAGACCAAATGCAAGGGATCAGACACCTGAACATGCTACTACCTGGGGCTCTACCTTGGATTATGCTCCTTGTGTTTCGAAGCTCTCCTTCAGGACAGACCAAAACACGAGCAGTTCAGAGTCATGAGGATTGTGGACAAGCAGAGGGAAAAACTGTATCTTTTGTGATTAAAGACGACAGACTGGTGTATGAACCCCCATGGGGCTCATCAACAGCCTCATCCTAACTGCCATGCCATTTCTCACGCACGCAGAGCTGTGGCTGGCCGCTCGCTCCGATGCTGCACGTGGTGTCTTCCTGGGGGCCATTTGCGATCCTCACGTGGTACCCTGGCACACTCATCTCATGATGGTGTCACCCCACAGCTCTGGAGTCAGGGTGAAAGCCTCATGGTGGTTGTACGTCTTCCTCACCGTTGCATTTCCCAGGGGCTGCCAGGAGATTCTGTTTCAGCTCATGCTCTGGAGGGCTGGAGCATGGTGTAGTGCAGCTCGAAGCATTGTTAGCAGAGACCGAAATGGGTTGTGCTTGGCAAGCACAATGGAAAGGAGAAGGGTGACCTAGGAGCATTGCTGTTCTCACTTCATTTTTCCATTGCATCTGCTGCTCTTTCTTTTTTCTTTTCTTTTCTTTTTCCTATCAAGTCCAAAGAGAGAAACAGAACAGAAACAAAATATAAACAGGTTCTCTCACCATACATACTGCAGGAGGGGGGCACTGTCAGAGGAAAGCAAGAAGGTCTGGGTTACAGATGTATCTCCATCCTTCCACTCACTCCTTCTTCTGTCCTTCCAACCCCCCCATCCTGGTCTTGCTTTCTCTCCAGCACCCCCCCACCGCAGCCATTCAGGGAGCTGCGTTGATGTTTGCACTGATGCCATAACAGGGTACCAAAGAATTCTATCACTCACAGGCTGGCTCTGAAGAGACATTTTGGAAGCGCCTCAGCTCTCCCCACAGCGTATTGTCAACAGATACAATGGCTCAAATACGAAGGCAGTTGAAGGCAACAGGAATGTTATTGTCGTCTGTTGCTGGGAGCAGCTTCTGGCTGCTCTTTGTGTGCCTTTGTGAGGTGTCGACAGGCCCATTGCTCAAAGTGAAAACCATAGAGAAGGTGCCCATCTCCTGCAGCAACACCTCCAAACTGTCCCTGGCAGAAGCTGAACGTCACTAGCGTTAACCTCCCCTAAAGAAACTCACCCCTTGCCAACTGATCTGATGTGGCCCCTCTTCTGGCTGACTCAGCTGAATGGCCAAGGAGTGAGTGGTCCAGACAGGTCCTGTTCTGAAAAGGAGCACGCATAGGGAAAGATTGCTTTGCCACTGCCTGGGCCCTGCCTTACCTTCCCAAGGTGCAGTGTGGGGCTCAGGAATGGGATGTGTCCATCAGGAAACCTTGTTGCCAGGTCTCCCCCTCCACCTGCCTCCTTCCATTCCCATGCAGCAGGAGATTATCCTGTTATCCACTCCAACAGTCCGGCAACCTCAACTGCCCATTTCCATGACAGTATCATGGCCCACAGAGAAAGGTTTGCAGAGGATGCCAGAAAAGTCCCTAGAGAAGGTCTATTTGGAGAAGGTTCTCTTTTGAGCCAGAATCTAACCCAAGGGACCCATGTGTCCTAGAACTGCATTCAGGGAAAAGGCATTTATTTTCCTGTATTTGACTGGCAGTGTTACTGTCCTGGCAATAGGCACAAGGCAGACCCCTGAACTTGGCTTCCCCTTCACTGGCAGAGCTGCAGAGGCTGAGGGAATCACAGCTCCCACAAAGCCCCAGAGAAATTGCGTGCTTGCTTGCAAGAAACGTCTTGGAGCTGGAGAGCCCTTTACTTAGGCCTGGAAGCAGAAACATTTCTTCCCTCCATATAACATGGCTCTGAGAACAGTCACCATGGGATGAAACCAGACTGCAGGCAAAGAGCACACAGTCCTAACATAAGGGAGGAGACTGTGTTCACACCCTACTGCTGTGTGTAACCTCAAGCAAGTCACCGCCCCCATTCCCTGCACCTCAAACCTGCTCAATAACCTTTCCTGATCTTATCATAGAATCATAGAATCAGCTGGGCTGGAAAAGACCTTTAAGACCATCAAGTCCAACTGTTCCCAGCACTGCCAAGGACACCGCTAACCCCTGGCACCGAGGGCCTCATATACACGGTGTGTGAGCACTTCCAAGAATGGTGACTCCAGCACTGCCCTGGGCAGCCTGTTCCAATGCCTGAGCACCCTTTGGGGAAGGAATTGTTCCTCATCTCCATCTAAACCTCCCCTGGTGCAGCTTGAGGCTGTTTCCTCTTGTTCTATCACTTGTTCCTTGGGAGAAGAGACCGACCCCACCTCACTCCATCCTCCTGCCAGGTAACTGTAGAGAGTGATAAGGTCCCCCCTGAGCCTTAGTCTCCAGACTAAACCCCCCAGGTCCCTCAGCCGTTCCCCATCACACTTGTGCTCCAGGCCCTTCACCAGCTCCAGTGCCCTTCTCTGCCCCCACTCCAGCACCTCAGTGTCTCTCTTGTAAGGGGTGATCTTGCTCTGACTCTCCACGAGCATGGATTCTTCTGCAAGCCCAGCACATCTCAGTCTTTGCCTTTAGCTGGGAGATGCTGCAGCTGTGCTGCTGCCAGTAGACCCTATGTGCTGCGGCTGCTGTACCCCTTTAAATGCTACTCCTTTATTCCAAATAGCTCTTGCAATCTTCCTGTAACCTGAGCAGCCAAAATTGGGTGCTGGCACTGGAAAGCATTTACATAACATCCCTGAGGTGAAACCCTTTTGGCAGGGGGATGTGAAAGGTGATAGAGATGGGAGGCTCCAATCCCTGGGGCTATCACCCCATAGTTCTACCTAGGAGCCTGGGAGAGACGAGATGGACGAATCCGGTGAGTGACTGTCTCACTCCCAGGTGTTGTTCTCCCAAACCATCTCTTCCATGAAGCATGGACAGATCTGGACAACAAGGTGAGGGCACTGCTGATAAGTGAGGCAACCCAGACTGTCCGAGTCTGAAAACAGGAGACCCACACAGACCCTGTTCACCCTGTTTCAAGCATCACCTTTTGTTCTCCAAAGTTGTCAAGTTGGCCAAGTGTTCACTGAACTGTACCATATCTTCTCTCTCACAGTACCACCCCAGTGTGGGGAGCGTGCAAACACAGGGAACCCCCAAGCAAAGCAAGGAAGGTGCTCGGTGATGCGCAGCCAACAAACCTCACCACGCTTTGGACCAGCAAACATGCCATGCCACGTTTGTGTGGCTCCTCCATCAGCCAGAGCCCTGCTGCTGCTGCCAAGGGCAGGGCTTGGCTGGCTCTGGCATGTGTGAGGAACAGGGCATGCATCCCACCCCTTTGCATGGGCTCGGGCTCGCTGGCATGCGCACTGCTGTGCGGTGGGACCGTGCAGGCTCAAGCTGCCCTGTCTCCTTCGGGTGGTATCTGAGGCTGGTCCCACCCCTGCTGCCTGGGTGACTGCTCCGACCTGTCGAGGCAGGAGTTTGCCTGCAGCATCGTTTTCCTCCCGCCATGCAAATTATTTTGCTGTTAATCTAGAAGCATGATCTAACCGGTGCTCTGCACCATCTACCCTTGTGGGAGCTTCTGGGGTGCCTGTCCTCCTTTCCCCCCCACTTAAAAGCCCTGCAGTTCCCAGCTCTCCATAGCTTCCCATCCCCATCGAGAAAGACTTGGCTTCCAGCACTGCCAGCTCACCTGTGAATGAACGAACGCATGCCCATCAGCTGCTTGCTGCTTTCTCCTGCCTGAGCCATGCAAAACACTTTCACCTTGGCTGCAGAAGGCCTTGTACCATGCTTCTTCCCAGCCCTTGTACAGAAGCTGCCTTGCTTTTCCCTGCTGGATTGAGCACATTCCTTCCTCCCTCCCTGCTCCACTCTATCCTGCAGCAGTTTCCAAAGCATTTTTGTGGTATCTGAGACCCAGAGACTAATTCCATGAGATGTGGAGCTGTGGTTTCTGTCACATGCTCTTAGCTCCAAGTCCTCCCTAGTGCAGGGGGTGGTGGGTCCACAAGGACACGGACACCAACCATCTTCCTCTCCTGAGGGTCAGGGTGCACTTACTGTTTCACAGCTGGCTCCTTTTAAGTAGAATTAAATTGTTCTGATTGGGAAAATGTGGTGCCTGTGCTCTCTCCCCCAGGTTCCTGACAGTCACAATAATAATTATGTGGCTTGGGAAACAATGATTATTAACCATAAGCCTGGGAAACTGCTTTTGCTATTCAGCTTTACGGGAATCCATACGGCTCCCATCGAAGGGGATTATTTACCCTAGGCCCTGAGAAAAAGCTGAGGAGCATCCGTGCTCCTTCTGGCTATTGTATTGCTGAATCCCACACCGGTGCGGGCGGAGAGCAGTTTCCTCTGGCTGTCATTAATCCTCGCATGTTTGACTGCCTCAGCACGCGGCATCCTTTGGATCGCTGGCTGCTGGGAAGCGGGGCCATTGTTTCAGGGGTTTTATCCCAGACGGAGGGCTTGCTGGAGCTGTGGAACCAGGCTTTGCAGGCGTCCTGCCGTCACAAAGTGACTGGCTCGCAGCCTGGTGGTTGTGCAGCCCCTTCCTAGCTCTGCTGCCAGGAAGCTAGCTGGATTTGGACCTGTTTTGATGAGGATGAAGGAAGGACTGGCTCTGTATATAAGTCATGTATATAGTATAAGCATAAACCATACTTGCCCTGCAGGAGCAAGCTTCCCTGCATGCCAGCGAGGAGGTGGCTCCACCACAATCCCCGTGGGTGGGACAGAACAACTGGGACCCCCCTTGCTTCCTCCTGGTCCTTAAACCCCAGCCCAGTCTTCTAATCATAGAATCATAGAATGCTCTGGGTGGAAATGACCTTAAAAATCATTCAATTCCCTGCCACGGGCAGGGACACCTTCCACTAGAGCAGGTTGCTCCAAGTCCTGTCCAACCTGGCCTTGAACACTGCCAGGGATGGGGCAGCCATAGCTTCCCTGGGCACCCTGTGCCAGCGCCTCACGACCCTCATAGTAAATAATTTCTTCCTTCTATCAAACCTAAATCTCTCCTGTTTAAGTTTGAACCCTGGGGTTTAACCCCTACAGGGCAGAAACAGGAAGACACAGTTTCAGTTCAATGCATGAATTGAAGTGAGGGAGATGTTCTCTTTCTCTAAGAGCTAAAGCAAAACTTAGAGAGGAGGCTTTTTAACAGGGATGGTGCCCATGGCATGCATGTGCACACGTATGCATGGAAGGGGTTGAGGCATGCAGGGAAACCCAAGCAGGCCCTTCATTCCTTGCTGTGGGCTTGCAGATCCCTTTGTGTTTCCTCCTTCTACAAAAGATTCTTGCAGTGGCCTTCAGGAAAAGGAAAGAGGAAGATGTGGGAGATCAGTATCAGTGATTCAGCCATCACCAGACCATCACGGTTACACACAGAGGAGCTCAAGAGCAAACCTGCAATAATAAAGCTGCACCTACAGGTCAGTCATCAGCAGGATCTCGAGCTGCCCTACAATAACCAAGCAGCTTATCTTCTGTTGGGTGCCATCAAACCAACCCACTGCCTCCCTGGCCAAGCTAGAGCAAGAGGGCCAGTGGTTAGGAAGGGCCCCAGCTTACCAAAGTGCAGCATCAATCCCTGTGAACCAAAACCTCCCATACTGTGTTACAGCCCCAAGCTGTGAAGCAGTGAGCTCTGCAAATGATTTTTACAGTGAAATCCTTGGAGGAAGGAAGAGGAATCTGAGTGTTTTCCAAGTCAGGGTTTGAAAGGGGGTTTATAGACCTGATGGGAACATCTCTTTCCAAGGTTGCCTCTGCCCCAGCATGAATTACGCTTTAGAAGGAAGCTGTGATTTTTTTCCCCTTTGATAATGGCAGGTAACACACTGATCAGCCTGAAAAGAGCTGCCTTTCCTTTCTCTAGGTGGGACACACGGCTGGGAATGCCTACATGAGGGCAAACCCCCACATTGCTCCCAATTCCCACCCCTCCCAGGGCTGCTGCAAGGCCATGGAGCAAAACAGCTAGCCCCTACTGCCCATCCAGCTCTGCCATTGCTATTGGCAGCTCTCCCAGCAAGAGGAGCCTCCCTCCTGCTTCTCTCTTTGGGAGCCTTGGGTGCAGCCACAGCTTTGCAAGTGGCAGCAATGTTATTTTGATGCGGCATTTACTCCTTTATGGTACATTATGGCTTTGTGAGATGCTAATGGATGAGGAGAAGGCCAAGAAAGCCACCTTTTACACCAGCCCAGCAGTGATGCCAGATGCTGAGCCAGGATCAGAAGGTCTGTCTGATGACCCCCATCAGTGGAGCTGTGCTGCTGATGGCAAAGGACATGGGGAGAGTCTGTGGGTCTTCTCAAACTGCACAGCATAGGGCTGCCTCAGAGACCCCCAGTCTGGTGCATCTCATAGCCCTTTGCGTGGTAGTGGTCCAGGGCTGGGATGCCTGGGCTCCTTCCCCATACCTTCAGTGTGGAGCTGCAGGGACCCAGCTGTGTACCTGGCTTGTAGGGTTCACGATGCACCAGCATGGCACAAGATACTGGGCACAAAATTCCCCTGGGAACCTGTAGCAGAGCAAAGGTCCAAGCTCTGCCAGCCTGGTAACTCCAAAGTCACCCTTATCCCTGGAAAGTGGTACCTGCCTTTGCAATGCACAGGGGAAAGAGGTGATGCTGGTCTTGGGCATTGATCCCTCCGTCCTCTCCCTGATGTTATCCAGCAATCAGCGTGCAGGAGAGTAGAGGAGCAGCCTTCCCCTCCCACATGCTCAGCGGATGCAGAGTGTGGTAGCAGCCGGACAGAGCTCCTTTCTCCAGCACAGTGCTGCTATTGTGTGGCCAGGATCTGGGGCCTGTCATCCCCACCAGGCAGGCACAGTCGGGATCTTTGCAGCCCAGCAGCATAGATGACAAGGTGAAAGGAATGGACAAGCTTCCAGAATGGGCAGCCCACCTCTGCATCTCCCCATTACATTTTGGACTTCTGTGCAAAAGACAGTGTAGGGAGAACACTAAGGTGGGGGCTAAAGAAGGGGAAATCTGAATGGAGAGGGAAAGGAAAGGAGACTGCACTGAGATGTGAGGGACAAGACAGCCAGCAAGGCAGAGCTGGGCTGGGAGCTGGAGAGGAAAAACTGTGAGCCCCGTGGGAGCCAGGCTGTGGGAAGAGACAATGCGATGGAGGGGAAGGAGCCAGCTCCCACTCTGGGCCACATGAGCCCTGCACAAGGCTGCAATTATTGAGAGGAGACAGCATGTCTGCCCTGGGCTGGGAAGTCTCTTGCCACAGACAGAGGCTTGCACATGGGCTGGTGCAGAAAGGAGCTGCATGCCCCTCTGCATAGCATCCCTTCAAGTTGCACCC